GTGCCCGGCTGGTCCTCCACGCCCCAGGGCAGCGACACCTCCTGCATCATCCCTTCTTGTCTTCTCTGCGGCCGTGGTCCTCCCTTCGCCCACTCCCCTCTCTCTTTTGCATCTTCCTACCACTAGGCAGGCTGCAGGCTTTCTCGTCTACAGATGTCTTCCTGATCTTTTGTTCCCAAGCAGCTATCACCCCACTCCTCTGCTCCTTTTGATAGTAAAACTTATTTTTTTAAAGACTAGTATATTGATTTTTAGAGAGAGAGAGGAAGGGAGAGGGAGAGAGAAACATTGACGTGAGAGACAAATATTGGTTGGCTGCCTCCTGCACGCCCCCTGCCAGGGATTGAACCTTCAACCTGAACGTGTGCCCTGACCAGGATTCGAACCAGCAACCTTTCAGTGCATGGTTGACACCCAACCAACTGAGCCACGCCGGCCAGGGCTAAAAGTGACATTTCTTGAGTTGTGGATGCTCAGCTGCATTTACCTCGCCGCCTCCCGAACCTCTTCTCTCCCATCAGGCTCCCATCTCTGCCCACTGAGACGTCCCTGAGAGCCGCCCACCATCACTGTCCACACACCAGGGCCCCGCTCAGCTCCCGTCTCCTCTGCCTCGAGCAGCATTTGGCTGAAGTCCTGTCTCCTTTGGAAACACGTTCCTCCCTTGGCCTCCAGGACACCAAACCTTGCAGGTTTCTTTCCACTGCGTGGGCTGTTCTTTCTCATCTTCTCTTCCCGAGCCTCTCCGTGCTGGGGTCCCCAGGCTCTGTCCTCAGTCTTTCTCTCGCCCACTCCCTGGAACAGCAGTTCTCTATTTTTGGCTCTCAGTCTGCTTTACACTCTTAAAATGACTGAGAAGCCCAGAGAGCGTCTGTTTATGAGAGCTACAGCTGTCAATATTTATATATTAGAAATTAAAACTTAGAAAACTAAAGGAACATTTAATTTTAAAAATAATGATATCCATTACATGTTAACATAAATAACATTTTTTTTTCCTGTAAAAATGTTTTCCAATGTGTATCCCCAATGAGTGAGAAGGTTGGGATCATTTTACCATTTTCCAAATCTCCGACGTCTGTGTGAACAGAAGCCCGCTGGCTGCTCACGTCTGCCTCGGCGTTCCGTCGGCTGTGAGCGGTTGTTTTGGTGGGAGCACGGGAAGGAAACCTGGTCTTAAACACACACGTTGGGAGAGGGAGTAGCATTTTAATGTCCTCTTTATAGAACTTTGGATAAGCTGCTTGGATGTTATACCAAGACTTGTCAAATGGTAGTTTCTTAGAGACTGACTAGCTGTATTGTGGAATCGGAAATGATATCCGTGAACTCTCTGCCCCTGGCTGCATGGATGTGTGCTGGTCTACCTTGTGCTCCGAGTGGGTTGTTTCTCACGCAGGATTCTATGCATCGCACGCGGGTCGCGGAGGAACGCTGGCTCATGGAGTGATGCAGGCACGCCAGATGCTGACGCATTTATGACACGACATTAAAACCCATGTCCATTGCCAGCACCGCCTGCCTCGTTAGCAAGGCCTTCGGTCCTCGGTAGCTGTCGAGGCCACAGAAGAGCCAAGTTTTCCAAAATTCACATTTTTCTTTGAAAGCTCAAATGTGCTGATTAGCAGTCAATGCTGTTATTTGTTTTCCTCGAAGCGACACGTTCATCTGATTCATTTTGGATAAAATATCTGCTGTATCCAAGACTGAGTAACCATAGTTTGCTTTCCAAGCTTTTTTTTTTTCAATAAAAAGGGTGTTCCGTGAAAAACTTACTGATTCTGCTCGCAAGTCAACACAGGTGCTTGACCTTAAGACAACCATTGCATTTTATTTGCAACAAAAGTGCTTCATGCAGCCTTCCCATTTCATGAGATGAGATTTAAAAAAAAATATATATATTTTATTGATTTTTACAGAGCGGAAGGGAGAGGGATAGAGAGTTAGAAACATCGATGAGAGAGAAATATCGATCATCTGCGTCCTGCATGCCCCCTACTGGGGATGGAGCCTGCAACTAAGGTACATGCCCTTGACCAGAATTGAACCCGGGACCCTTTGGTCCGCAGGCCAACGTTCTATCCACTGAGCAAAACTGGCTAGGGCTCATGAGCTGAGATTATTAATAAGACCTACACTTATATTAATAGAATTAGTGACTTTTTTCTGCTTCATAGGCAACGTTTTGAAGGGACTATCTCCCCGCCCTATTAAACCAGGAATGTGTGCAGGTGGAGACCATGGGACTCCTAATACAGTTTGGTGCTACAGCTTTGACCCATGCTCAGATGGCAGCGATTTTACCCGCCATTGCTTTTGCACTGTTGGTAGTGCAAAAGGGAAATACTGTCTTAATATTGTTGTGAGAATAGTTTTTACCTTGTGGGCCTCCTTAGACACCCCTCAGGGGTCCATGGACCACACTTGGGGAATCACTAATGTAGACTATATCCTCTCCAATCAGCCTCACCCATCTGCGAAAGGCCAATGCTAATTATTTGTTTTGCAAAGTATAATTATAGGACAGCTAATCATGGACAATTATAGCACATGCAATTTTTGAATAATGGATTTAATAAGGTTATTAAGCTCATTAGTGTTTAGTACTTACATGTCTTTTTTAAAAAAACCATGAAATTAGGTTAGCAAATCTTAGCAGCAAATCCCTTCTCTCCCATTTTCTATGTTTAATGCCCCAAGTGTCTTGGTTTGCAGTCATACACTGCTTTCAAAACTGTTCTCTCCTGTGATGTCTATTGGGTCAGAGAGAATAGGTAACCTCTAACTGTCAGATTCTAGGACACCTCTCATCAAAGATGTGTGTTTAAATGTCCTTGAACGGCAGTACTGAGACACTGTGACAATGGCTTTGTCCATTTCCTTCTAAGCGTTTGCTATGTTTCTGGCCCAGATAGCAAATTTAATGCAGAGGCAGAGGAAGCAAATTGTACTCTAGACAATTCCATCTAATTCATACCCACTTATGTGGACTCCCTGGTCTCACTCTAGGCTCTCCAGCTGGATATGGTAACTTGGTAATTGCTTTTGGTTGTTTTGGCTTTCGTAACTTCTGATGGGTAACATCAGCTCCTTCCTTCCTTCCTTCCTTCCTTCCTTCCTTCCTTCCTTCCTTCCTTCCTTCATCTATGAGTGTTGCCCTATTTCTCCTCCCAGCTCCCTCTGCTCCCCACATTTAAGGAACCTCTTTATCATTTAGCCCTGGCCTGTAGAACTCCACTGTTTGGACCGGCTCCTGGCCCCACTTTCAGAAGGAGGTGATTTGAACAACCACAAATGTGATTATTTTTGTTAAGGATTTGGAGTCACCTGGCTCCCTCTCTGGAGTTTGTTTGGAGGAAAGAGTACACCTGTAGGACATTAATGGAGTACCACTGCAACTAACAGCTGGTCAAGCACCCAATATCCCACAGGGCGGGGCTTACCAGGCATGAGCTCGACTCTTAGAGCACAGTAACCCTGGCCCCGGGGAGACATGGCTCCTGGACCTTTTCTAGCTCTGACCCATAAAATGGCATGTACTGTCTCAGGCACAGCTAGCCAAGGGGTGGGGAAAAGCATATTTCCTGGGGAGAAGCGAGACATCTCTCCCCAGGAGTTTCCTCCAACGCTTCTAAATCAAGAAGCATCCTAAAGTAGGATGCCGACTTGAACATCATGTTGTTCTACAATCTCTAAGCTTGCACACTGGCGAGAACTTCAGAGACCAGGTGCAACTCAACTGCGACATGTACACGCGGCCCAGGGATGCTAAATGTCCCACCTAAGTCCACACAGACCAGACCCCTGTACCTGTAAATGCAGTTTACCTCCTAATCTGCCACACCGACTCCGGGGGATGGTAGATATCGCTTTTAAAGGAGAAGTCCTCTCTTCCTGAAGTTTGGGTATTATTTCCTATCCTTCTGGGTCGTGGCTTCTTTAACTTAAATAGGATTTTCCTGTGAGTTAATTGCTTTTGGAGGCAATCTGAACACAAAGCACTGTTTTCAATCTTAAAAATATATTTTTGGCTTCTCATCATTTCCTTCCTAATGTCAGGTTTCTTGCCCCCAAGCTAACCACCTCATATAGGGTTTTTTCTTTTTCTTTTGTCTTTAACCAACTCAATTGCTTTCTGAATCACATTGGGAGAAAACAAAGCAAAACACATGATTTTAAGGTTTATTGCTGTTTGAATTCTCTGAAACCAGAGAGACAAGGGAACAGATTCTGTTAATGTGTCGAAGGATGTAAAGATTCACGAAGTTGTGTTTTGGCACATTTATCTTGCATTCTTGTTACTTATACTTTTATCTCATATGTCCTACTTGAATGAGATTTGACTACAGAGGTGGGGCAAGCCTTATTAAACTTTAAGACATTTATGCCATCTGCACCCGATTAGGTAGCAAGTACTTAACTATTTTTAAAATAAATGAGTAAAGATATAATCAAATAAATTATTCACAATATGCAATGTCCTCCATTAAATACAAATGGGGGGCGTAAGCTGTGAATGGCTGTTCCCAGGCCCTGAGTCAACACCCAGTCGCACATAGCAAAGTGGTCTGTGCTACTCAGACTGTCCACGCATCGTCTGTACCTTCTTATCTAGAGCATTGATACCAGCATGATTCCAGAACCTTGAGTCCTGCCTTTTAATTTTATGAATATTAATTTATGCAGGTAAATAATCAAGTAAACTTCTTGGTCCCTTGACTCAGAAAACTTTAGCCATGTGTTGAATATTTTCTGTCAGAGGTCAACTCTACAGCCCCCTCGGTGGGAATACTCCCTTCTCGCCTGCACTGATAAATAGAATCCGCATTACATCCCACTGGGTGGTGGACTAGGTCAGGGGTGGGTTTGTTGTGTGCCACTCATATTCTAGAAGCCATTCCTAACAATTCACATCTCAACATCTTAGAAGAAAGCCCCATCTTCTCATCTACTTTTACATAGATACACTGAAATATTCGAAGGTTTGTAAACATACATACCCGCTAGTGGCGTTCAGAAGAAATCCAGTAGCACCAGAAAGTTGGGGCCAGTCAAGCTCATCAGTAAGTGCTGTGGGTAAATTGAAGAAGGATTTCTAAAGAAAAAATAAAGAGGTGATTGTCAAAATGGTCACTTGTTTTCTACAAGTGGTAAGGTTATTCATTGCCTAGGCATTGCTCTCTCTCTCTCTGTCTCTCACTCTGTCTCTTAATCCCTCTCTTTAAGGGACTTGGGCATTAAAGGCATTTGCCTCTTAACTTTAACCAGTATCAGGACATTCACAAACATGCGCATCCCTCCTGAACTCGCTCCCCGTCAGCGGCTGGGAAAGATGCAGAGCGCATGGCAGCGCTGACTCATCCCTCACTTGAAAGGGATGTTTCAGCAGATGGGTACACTTCCCACTCTTTTAAACTTGCTGAGATTTTCTCCGCATTTGAGTTTAGACATTCAGGAAATCGACTGTCTGGAAAGTAATAAGACCCAAGCCCCCAGCAAAAATGCCTCCTTGAGTTCAAAGCTATGCCCTCAGTCAAGAAGAGGGTGCCTCCTGCCCTCCTTGGGGGTGTCAGACACCTTTGAGAATCTACTTAGGGTTCCTTTCCCACAAGGTGCACGTGTGCTCAACGTGTTCGATGAGTTCAAGGACTCCTGACACGGTGCTGACAGAATTAGGATTCATTGACCACATTTCTATGGCTCGTGCGAACTCGGAGAAGAGAATGCTCTCGGCTGTGTCCCCTTCGTGTTTCTGTGATACATGTCCTTGGGAATGAACACCCTTCTGCTCTAATTTCTAGAGAAAGATTACCTAGACCAGTGATGGCGAACCTTCTGAGCTCGGCGTGTCAGCATTTTGAAAAACTCTAACTTAACTCTGGTGCCGTGTCACATATAGAAATTTTTTGATATTTGCAACCATAGTAAAACAAAGACTTATATTTTTGATATTTATTTTATATATTTAAGTGACATTTAACGAAGAATAATCAACCAAAAAAATGAGTTCGTATGTCACCTCTGACACACGTGTCATAGGTTCGCCATCACTGACCTAGACTGATGTTTTCAGAATAGGGTTGCCAGATGTAGCACATAGATGTCCTGCTAAATTTGGGTTTCAAGAAACAAAATGTGGCCATAACCGGTTTGGCTTAGTGGACAGAGCGTTGACCTGCGGACGCAAGGTTTGGTTCTGGTCAAGGGCATGTACCGTGGTTGCAGGCACATCCCCAGTAGGAGGTGTGCAGGAGGCAGCTGATCGGTGTTTCTCTCTTATCAATGTTTCTAGCTCTCTATCCCTCTCCCTTTCTCTCTGTAAAAATCAATAAAATATTTTTTAAAAAGAAACAAAATGTGGTGTAGACACACAATGGAATACTATTCGGCCTTAAAAAAGGAAGTTCTGACACATGTGACAACATGGACGAAGCTCAAGGACATTATTCTAAGTGAGATAAGCCAGTTTCACAATAAGATACATACTGTATGATTCCACTCATGTGAAGTTTTTAGAGTTGTCAAACTCATAGAAACAGGAAGTAGAAAGAGGAGTGCCAGAGGGGGAAAGGAGAGTTGAGTTTTTTTCAGTAAAGGGTTAGTTTTGTAAGATGAAAGAGTTCTAGAGTTTGGTCCCATGATAATGTAAATATACTTAATTGTATATTTAAAATGTGTTAAAATAGTTTGATGTTATGTGTATTTAGCACAATTAAAAGAAGTGAATACGCAACATTTTTAATTTCAGGTACACAAGGAATAATCTGTAGTATAAGTATAGCTCATGAAGTGTTTGGGATATACTTTTACTTCAGAGATTCAAATTGAACTGGGTGTCCTGTATTTCACCTGGGAATCCTAGTTTGGATAAACACTCTGAAAGCCAGTGTCCCCTTTTTGCCTTGGCTGACAGGAAACCTCAGTGTCTGGCTACAGCAAGCAGTTTATCGTAATGTCATTGCCCCCATGTGCCCTTCGGGGAGTTTTTTTATAGGAATTTACATTGAATTTTTATCATAAATGTACTACTCTGTAATCAGGAAAACACACACAATAAAGACACAATTTTAATCACATTATAAAGTGACCTCCTGATATTCACCTGCAACTGAAAAATAAAATTTTAAAAATATAGATTTTCAAATCTTTAATGAGACAGAAGTGTGGCTTTCCCTTCCCCAACAGCCTGAGATTCCAATTCTCTGTAGGAGCCAAGGTGGGGACCCTCCTGGGAGAGGAGGTGAGCAGGAGGCTGGGCCGTATGCCACTTGAAAAATTGCATTCAACGCTATGATTGCTTTGATGTGATTGGCTTTCAGATATTAGCTTTATTTTTAATCCTAAAAGAACATTAAAGAAGGACCCTTTAAGTTCCTCTGAAGGGGGCACGGGTTTTCAATACTGAAGACGAGATGCCAGGGATTGGCACTTCATCCTCACCCCTCAGCAGGAGGCACTCACCGTGTTCTGCTCAAAATTCCCCCAAAGGCGGTGACTCAGCTACTCTCTGTTTTGGTTTCCATTTCTCCTGCCACTATAATCAAATGTTTTCTCTCTGTGTGTGTGTGTTTTTTTAATCTTATTGTTTCCCCCTAGGTTTGTCTGTTTATGTGTTTGCTGTAGGAACTAAGAATATTCAGTTCTGCTACAGAGTTGGGAAAAGCAAACAGAATGGGTGAAACGCATAACATGTGTGAAGCTGAGATAGTGGATAAACAGGTAGGTGGCTTGTGAGACGTGGGCAGAACTTACGAGCTGTGTTACGTAAGAACTTTCAAACGTAAAAGGTGTGAAAAGTTAAAAGAACAATGCGACGCGCCCCACGCCGCTCTGGCACCTCCTTAGTCATGTGCACAGGGACAACCCCAGGTCTGGGACAGTGGTAGGGACTGGGCTTTCACAGGAAGTTGCTGGGCGCCGGGCAAAGATTGTCCTCCAGGAATCAGGGGATCTGACTTTTATATCTGGCTCTACAAATGCAGCAAAGCTCCATGGTTCGGACCTGACACATTAGAAATGGGGTCCATTCTCCATGCAGCCCCATGCTCAGCCAGGGATGGGTTTCTCAGATACGATTCTTAGCTCCACAGTAGGGAAGAGGAGATGTTGAGGAGGGAGTAGGACAGGTGAGGCCATGGTCAGGCACCTGTCTTGGGAAGTGGAGTGTCCTCACATTCTCCCAGCTGGGAGAGGGTGCCCCAACCAGCCCTGGAATCCTCCCCATCAGGATTTCCGCAGGAGTGGACAGCGCCCGGTGCTGAATCACAGCCAGGAAGAAGGCGGATTTGCATCCCGCAGCCAGAGCCCAGGAAGATCAGTCAGTCAGGTGCATAGGTTTTCCTGGTTGACAAACCTTGAAATAATGCAATTCTGTGTGACACATTTAGACTTCCCTTATGGTGTCATGGTGAGGTGTTATGGTGAGGTTTTAATTCTCCTCGCTGTGCAAAATCAGGGAAGATGTGCCTTTTCCAGTGTCTCAGGTTCAGCATCTCCTATGGCTCTAGATTCTTCCCCTCTGGTCCTCAACAGGGCTGTTGGGAGGGTGGGAGGTCAGCGAGGGAGGCAAGTTGACAAGTAGAAGCCCTGCACTGGTTCAGGGTGGATCACTGAGTGTCCCTTTCCAAGTGGACTGTCCCAGGTGTAAGAGGAGGGCATTTTATTACCAGACAATGAAAGAGATTGGAGCTGACAAGTGGAAGCCTCCACATATTTTCCTTCCTTAGTGAATTTGGTAGATAAAAATGAGCAGTAGCAGCCCCCCATAGCGATGGCTTTATAGACCCTCGCAAAAAGAGTGTTTAAGTCATATCATATTAAACACTAAACGCCTTACTCACGCAACATTATAGCCAAGATCGTTCAGGCATTTAAGGCAGGAAGTATGCAAATTAAGATCTCCCTCATCAATTCCCGCTTAGGCCTCTTGAGCATTTATGTTCTCAGGAAACTCGTCTTAAATGTGCCTTAAATGTACATATGTGGGAGGACTTACTATTTATCAGGGGAAATGTTCCAAGTCTGTAAAGAGCATCAGAAACTTGATTATTAAGTCAAAATGAAGTCAATTTTGCTTCACAATTCCTTCTGATTTTCTCAATGACATAAATTGTTTTCATGTCCTCATGGCCATGTGTATACTGTTTTGGTGCAATATTTGTATATACTAGTACTCTGTGCGTGTATTTCTACGCATTGAGAAAGTCCACTGGTTCTCATTTTTAATGAATATTTAGTAGAAACAAATCCTTTGGATTTGGGGATGTTTTAAGCCTTAGTTTTGACAAGCAACTTATATTTTGTTTTTTTCAAAGACATCTTAAGTGAGAGAAAGAGTAATCGCATCTATCACACATTCGTCCGGTTCTGCCAATTTCCCGATGACAGGGAATCTTTTTGGTGTCTTTATTTCACTGTTTACATTTGAGCCCTCCTGGCCCGGCAGTGCCTGTGGACAATTTGCACAGAGTATTCCCTTCTCTAATACTCCTAACTGAGTTAGAACTAAGTGAATTATTTTCAAAGAGTACAGAGTCACTTGGAGGAACCTGCAGCCAACTGCTGATGGAAAAAGATATGAAAAATACCATCATTACCATCATTATTATGCTAAGTGAAATAAGCCAGGGAGAGAAAGACAAATACCATATGATTCCACTTATGTGTGGAATCTAATGAACAAAATAAACTAAAAAACAGAAGAGAAACAGACTCATTGGTACAGAGAACAGACTGACAGCTGTCAGAGGGGAGGGTGTTGGGGGACTGGGTAAAAAAAAAGGTGAAGTGATTAAGCAAAAACAAAAAGAAAAAAAGAAATGATCTCATGTGAGTCCTGTAAGGTTAGTAAGAGGGAGCCAGGCAAGGAGTTTAAGCATTGGAAATGCCAAATACAAAAACCCAAGGCTAAATTCATAATATGATGTATAGGGAACACCAACAATCCCCCCTCTAAATGAACACCCCAAATATCAAGTATACTAGTTATCTATAGCTATGTAATAAATTACTCCAAGTTTAGCAACAAAACAACAAGAGAGCCCACTGCATGGGAGAACATATTTGCCAATGTTATCACTGATAAGGGTTTAATCT